ATACAATAGGGTTCCATGCTCCGATGGAGACATGGAAACGCTGCTGCTTTGCAGCTGCGTTACCCTGCTTGCTCGGGCTTGGACCCCTAAAAACAACAGGCTTTCCAACAATGTAACATTTATTACCAGGAAGTATTTTACAAAAAATCAAACACAAACAATCATCCCTAAGTGATGAAAATGAGACATCAGGAGCTTGATAAATGTTAGTGGTTGGATCCTAAATTTAAAAMAGTGATTCCCAACCAGGGGTACACAAGTCTGAAACGTCTGGGAACCACTGCTGTAATCTAATGCATGTTGGCGTTTTATGACTGTTCAGATCTTTCAGGAGCTGAAGGACGACCGGATGGCTCAGGGTTTCAGGAAGGCTCTCAACAAGAAAGAAGGCATTGTAGCCATCGGAGGCACCAGTGAGCTGTCCAGTGAGGGAACCCAACACTCAATCTCTGGTTAGTGAAGCTCAATCCAGAAGAGCTGCACTCAGGATGGGCTCTCCAAAGTGTCTCGAAACATTCGCTGCTGCTGCTGGGAGTTTCCTGTCGAGTCAGAGAGGCCATCAGTTCTGCTTGAACTTTGAGCAGAATCACAAAATGAGCTGAACAGATTCCTCTTAAACCAGTTTGTGAAAACACAAAAACTGTAGTCTAGATTAAAGGCAGAGGTGTGGCTTTTCCCTTCAGCTTCACTGGAGGTTTTATTTCCTGAGCTCACCCTGTGACACCCTGGTCCAGATCCCCAACTGCTGCTGTCAGGCCCCGCCTCCCTCCAACACATGACAGCGGTGGTGCTGTATTTTGGCCATGGGGCCCTGCAGGACCAGGATCTGACACCCCTGCCTTAGATGATCGAGTGTTCACCTGCACTCTATGAATTATTAGCCTGCATTGTGTTTATTTATTTTTTCATTTCCTGCAGTGGATGTGTGAGTCTGACTCAGTGCAGGTGCAGGGACACAGGTGCCACTCACAGAGGAAGAGGTGGGGTACACCTGGACAGGTGTACAGCCCATCACAGGGACACATGGCTCAGCCTGGGTTCAGTGTGTTTGCATTACCCTTCTGGTCCAGTTTCACTCTGATTTCTGGAAACCCGAGACCTGCGGGTCTCTCTGGGCCTGCCTCTTCTGCCCGATGATGTCATCTACTGCTGCTCAGTGATTGGTTCACTGTCTGGAGGTGGAGGGAGGTTACATYGCACACCTGACGTGAATTGTTTGCAGCGACGTTTCTTCCACTCGAGTTTAACTGCACAGCAACAGTAGCATTAGCTAATGTTAGCTAAAGTTAGCTTACACTAGCTAATGTTAGCTAATGTAAAAAAAACTTTTTACGTTATTTACATCATATTTTACGTCCTGAGACGGAAAAAAAAACTTTTTTACATCCTGAAAGGTAAATTTTTTAAATGTAAATTACATCATATTTTACGTCCTGAGATGTAAAAATTTTTTTTGAGATATAAAAACATTTTTTTTACGTAAATTACATCATATTTTGCATCCTGAGATGTAAAAATAACGTTCAGTTCACATCCTGAAATGTAAAAATATTTTTTACGTAAATTACATCATATTTTACGTCCTGAGATGTAAAAATTTTTTTTGAGATATAAAAACATTTTTTTTACGTAAATTACATCATATTTTGCATCCTGAGATGTAAAAAAACTTTTTTTTCACATCCTGAAAAGGAAATTTTTTTAAATGTAAATTACATCATATTTTACGTCCTGAGATGTAAAAAACCTTTTTTTTACATCCTGAGACGTTTTTACATCTCAGGACGTTAAAAAATATTACATCCTGTGAAGTAAAAAAAATTTTTTACGTCTCAGGTCGTAAAATATGATGCAATTTACGTAGTTTTTCTTTTTTTACATCACAGGATGTAAAAAAAGTTTAAGTCCTGAGATGTAAAAAATGTTAGTTAACGTTAGCTAATGTTAGCTAAAATTATCTTATGTTTTCTGTTGTCTTGCCCTGTCGTCTAAAGCATCACGCTGCTGGTACAGCCTTCAGTACTTTTCCTTCCCGGTTGGTGTAGTCCATTATTGTGTCACAAATAAAACAAAATAGGATTAGAGTGTTTTTATAATGATCATCAGGCTTCACTCTGCTCAGTCAAACAGAATCAGGGTAAAATGAGCCCAGGTTGACTGCAGCGGAACAACAAACGCCTGTAGAGACAAACRAGACAACCGGTCACACTTTCACCAACACCTAGGGTAGGTTAGAGTTACTAGTTAACCTACAGTAATCATAAATTTGGGGGCAGATGGGCCAATTATCTCATAATCATCACTAGTTAATCTGTACCAGTGGCAGATACTGGCTTGAAGGAGGTGTTTCATCATTTTTTGTGACACACCATCACTTGACTCTATTCCAGAGCAGGAACGCTTTGCTTTTGCCAACTACATCAACAAGGCTTTGGAGAAGGATCCAGACTGTAGACATGTTCTGCCCATCAACCCCGACACTGGAGCTCTGTTTAAAGCCCTGGCAGACGGCGTCGTGCTGTGGTAAACCTCCAGACACAGCTTGTTTTGTCTTCAGCTGCATCAGTTCAGACAAACATGGTGTTTTTCTCCTCACTCGATGCAGTAAACTGATCAACCTGTCTGTTCCCGACACCATCGATGAGAGAACCATCAATAAGAAAAAGCTCACTGCTTTCACCACACAGGTCAGACTCACACACAGGAAGTGTCACATCTGAAAAGGGATTTGTTGATATCTTATAAATGTTGTGTATCAACAGGAGAATCTGAACTTGGCTTTGAATTCAGCTTCAGCCATCGGGTGCCAGGTGGTTAACATCGGGGCCCAGGACCTGAAGGAGGGCAAACCTCACCTGGTTCTGGGCCTGCTCTGGCAGATCATCAAGATCGGACTGTTTGCTGACATAAAGTTGAGCCGCAACGAAGGTACTGAACGCAAAAAAGACTTTTATCATCAGAGGAAGTGTAAAGATCTGTTTGTCTTTTAGGTTCTTTTTCTTTTTTTATTGTAAATATAATCCTGTTGGAGCCCATCACTGAAAAAAAAAGATTTTTGGGTGTAGTAACATGTATTTAATTATTCTTTTAAATTTTACAAAAAAATAAAAAAACTATTAGAATTTACTAAATAAACAATACACATTATTTAATAAATCAATATTACTGTACAAAAATAGTAAAAGCTAATAT